TGTGCACCCTGAGGCCACGTGAAGTGTCGAACGCCCGCCGGCAGGAGGTCACGGGGCAGACCCTGGTGCCACGGGTCGACTGACTGAGATGACTGGCTGATGCACCACCTGTGCCCCCTACTGTGCCAACCTGCTGTGCTTTAGCCACCCGGCGCTCCGCTCGCTGTTGTGAGCGTCGCTCCTCCGCCCTCCGTTGTTGTTGGAGGGCGACTGCCTCCAACTGCCCAGTAGCATCCTTCACGAGCCTCCTCCACAGAGGCCGATCTTGACACCGCTGGTACCAGTCATCGGCAAGTCCACTCAGCTCCACGTCCTCCTCTACCACATCACTCCATCTCTTCGCTAGCCCGTGCCGCGCCCGCTTAGCCCCCTCAATCCGGCCAAACAAAAGCTGTTTCGGCATGCGGTGGCTGGGCATGCGGGCTACATGACCCAGCCATCGCAGCCTTGCCTGCCGGAGGAGCTCACCGATGGGACCCTGCCCAGATCTTTCAAGGATTTGTGAGCTCCTCACACAATCCAGTCTGGTTAAACCCAGGATGGATCGTAGGCAGGCCAGCTTAAATGTTTCTAACCGGCGAAGATGTTCCATTAGGGGGGTCCACGTTTCGCAAGCGTAGAGAAGGGAGGGAATGACCGTGGTCGAGAAGACCTGAAGCTTAGTGCGGAGCGACAGACCAGGTAGCTTCCACACAGTGTTACGCAACCGATGAAAAGATATTGCCGCTCGACTGATTCGGAGTGAGACCTTTGCTGTTAAACTGGAGCCGGTCACACTGCCCAGGTACGGGAAACTCTCCACTCTCTCCACAACTGCCCCATCACCGATCGGGAGTTGTGGGGGTGGAGTGTCCGATGGTACAAAATACCCAGGCAGGTGCTTAGTTTTAGTGGGGCTGATGGTAAGGCCCCACCTCTTAGTGGCACGCTCCAGTCTCAGCAGCAGCGTCTCCAACTTCTCCTCTGACTGAGCAGCTATTACCAAATCATCAGCATACATAACGTGGTTGAGCAATAGGGAGCCATCCCCCGACCGCACCCGGGCACACACACACACCAACACACACACACAATCACCAACACACTCACCACCACACTCACCAACACACAAACACACTCACCAACACACACACACACTCACCAACACACTCACCAACACACTCACCAACACACTCACCACCACACTCACCAACACACACTCACCACCACACTCACCACCACACTCACCAACACACACTCACCAACACACTCACCAACACACACACTCACCAACACACACACTCATCAACACACTCACCAACACACTCACCAACACACTCACCAACACACCAACACACACACTCACCACCACACTCACCAACACACGCCCCACCACACTCACCAACACACACACTCACGAACACACAGACCAACAAACACACACTCACCACACCACAAACACTCACCAACACACTCACCACAAACACTCACCAGCACACTCACCACAAACACTCACCAACACACACTCACCACCAACACGCTCACCACCACACTCACGAACACGCTCACCAACACACTCAACAACACACACACACACTCACCAACACACACACTCACCAACACACTCACCATCACACTCACCAACACACACACTCACCAACACACTCACCACCACACTCACGAACACACACTCACACACTCACCAACACACTCACCAACACACTCACCAACACACACACACTCACCAACACACACACTCACCAACACACTCACCAACACACTCACCAACACACACACTCACCAACACACACAATCACCAACACACTCACCAACACGCTCACCAACACGCTCACCAACACGCTCACCATCACCACAAACACTCACCACCACACTCACCAACGCACTCACCAACACGCTCACCAACACACACACTCACCACCAACACGCTCACCAACACGCTCACCATCACCACAAACACTCACCACCACAAACACTCACCAACACACTCACCAACCCACTCACCAACACGCACACTCACCAACACACTCACCAACACACTCACCACCACACTCACCAACACACTCACCAACACACACCCACTCACCAACACACTCACCAACACGCTCACAACACACTCACCAACACACACACTCAACAACACGCTCACCATCACCACAAACGCTCACCAACACACTCACCAACACACACTCACCACCAACACGCTCACCAACACACTCACCAACACACACTCACCAACACACACACTCACTCACCACCACACTCACCAACACACTCACCAACACACACACACTCACCACCAACACGCTCACCAACACACACACTCACCAACACGCTCACCAACACACACTCACCACCACCCTTACCAACACGCACACACACTCACCAACACACCAACACGCTCACCACCACCACACACACTCACCAACACACTCACCAACACACACACTCACCAACACGCTCACCAACACAGTCACCCACTCACTCACTCACCTACTCACTCACTCACCACTCACTCACCCACTCACCCACTCATCCACTCACTCACCCATTTACTCACTCACCCACTCACCTACCCACTCACTCACTCACCCACTCATTCACTCACCACCCACCCACTCGCTCACTCACCCACTCACTCACTCACCCACTCACTCACTCACTCACCACTCACTCACCACTCACTCACTCACCCACTCACCCATTCACTCACTCACCCACTCACCCACTCACTCACTCACCACTCACTCACCATTCACTCACTCACCCATTTACTCACTCACGCACTCACCCACTCACTCACCCACTCACTCACTCACCCACTCACTCACTCACGCTCTCACCCACTCACTCACTCACACACCCACTCACTCACTCATCCACTCACTCACTCACCCGCCCACTCACTCACCCACCCACTCACCCACTCCCCACTCACTCACTCATCCACTCACTCACTCACCCACTCACCGACTCATCCACTCACTCACCCATTTACTCACTCACCCACCCACTCACTCACCCACTCACTCACCCACTCACTCACTCATCCACTCACTCAACCATTTACTCACTCACCCACTCACCTACCCACTCACTCACCCACTCACCCACTCACTCACCCACTCACCACTCACTCACCCACCCACCCACCCACTCGCTCACTCACCCACTCACTCACCCACTCACTCACTCACCACTCACCACTTACTCACCCACTCACCCACTCACCATTCACTCATTCACCCACTCAGTGAGGGGAGTGGGTAGGCAGGTATATGAGTGGGTGGGTAGTTGAGTGGGTGGGTAGTTGAGTGGGTGGGTAATTGAGTGGGTGGGTGAGTGGTTAGTTGAGTGGGTGGGTGAGTGGGTGGGTGATTGGGTGAGAGGGTAGTTGAATGGGTGGGTCGGTGAGTGGGTGAGTATTTGAGTGGGTGGGTGAGTCGGAGGGTGAGTGGGTAGTTGAGTGGGTAGTAGAGTGGGTGGGTGCGTGGGTGGGTGAGTGGGTGGGTGAGTGGGTAGTTGAATGGGTGGGTGAGTGGGTGGGTGGGTGGGTGAGTTGGTAGTTGAATGGGTGGGTGAGTGGGTGGATGGGTGAGTGGGTAGTTAAGTGGGTTAGTGAGTGGGTGGGTGAGTGGGTAGTTGAGTGGGTGGGTAGGTAGTTGAGTGGGTGGGTGAGTAGTTGAGTGGGTGGGTGAGTGGGTGTATGAGTGGGTGAGTGGGTAGGTGAGTGGGTGTGTATGTAGTTGAGTGGGTGGGTGAGTGGGTAGTTGAGTGGGTGAGTGGGTAGTTGAGTGAGTGGGTAGTTGAGTGGGTGGGTAGTTTAGTGAGTGGGTTGTTGAGTGGGTGGGTAAGTGGATTGGTGAGTGTGTGGGTGGGTGAGTGGGTGGGTAGTTGAGTGGGTGGGTGGATGAGTGGTTGAGTGGGTGTGTATGTAGTTGAGTTGGTAGTTGAGTGGGTGGGTGAGTGCTTAGTTGAGTGGGTGAGTTGATAGGTGAGTGGGTGAGTGGATAGTTGAGTGAGTGGGTGAGTGGGTAGTTGAGTGGGTGTGTATGTAGTTGAGTGGGTAGCTGAATGAGTGGGTGAGTGGGTAGTTGAGTGGGTGGGTGATTGGGTAGTTGAGTGGTTGGGTAGGTAGTTGAGTGGGTGGGTGAGTGGGTAGTTTAGGGGGTGTTTAGTTGGGTGGGTCGGTATTGAGTTGCGTGGGTAGTTGAGTGGGTGGGTAGTTGGGTGGGTGAGTGGGTAGTTGAATGGGTGGGTGGATGAGTGGGTGAGTGGGTAGGTGAGTGAGTGTGTATGTAGTTGAGTGGGTGGGTGAGTGGGTAGTTGAGTGGGTGGGTGAGTGAGTGGGTAGTTGAGTGGGTACTTGAGTGAGTGGGTGGGTGAGTGGGTAGTTGAGTAGTTGAGTGGGAAGTTGAGTGGGTGAGTGGGTAGTTGAGTGAGTGGGTAGTTGAGTGGGTGGGTGAGTGGGTGGGTGAGTGAACGGGTAGTTGAGTGGGTGGGTGAGTGGTTGAGTGGGTAGTTGAGTTAGTGGGTAGTTGAGTGGGTAGTTGAGTGTGTAGTTGAGTGAGTGGGTAGTTGAGTGGGTGGATGAGTGCGTGAGTGGGTAGGTGAGTGGGTAGTTGAGTGAATGGGTAGTTGAGTGATTGGGTAGTTGAGTGGGTAGTTGAATGGGTGGGTGAGTAAGTGGGTAGGTGAGTGGGTAGTTGAGTGGGTGAGTGGGTAGTTGAGTGGGTTGTTGAGTGGGTGGGTGAGTGAGTGGGTAGGTGAGTGGGTATTTGAGTGGGTGAGTGGGTAGTTGAGTGTGTGAGTGGGTGGGTGGGTAGTTGAGTGAGTAGTTGAGTGGGTAGTTGAGTGGGTAGTTGAGTGAGTGAGTGAGTGGGTAGGTGAGTGGGTAGTTGAGTGGGTGAGTGGGTAGTTTAGTGTGTGACTGGGTGGGTGGGTAGTTGAGTGGGTAGTTGAGTGGGTAGTTGAGTGGGTGGGTGGGTAGTTGAGTGGGGTACCTGCACACGAGCATGCACCAGTTGTACATGACAGGTATACTGATGATGGTGAGCCAGTTGTAGTAAGTGTTGCCTGCAGGGTCCAACACGATCAGCTCACGCTTTCTGTGGCGGATGGACAAGGCCCCGGGCATAGGAACGTCACGGCGAGTGGCACACCACGTGGGATAGAGAGAGGCGTAGACAAAGCTCCCCCAGGTAGCCTCTAACAGGGGCTGTAGGGGCAAGTGCTGTCAGTAGCAGCAGTCTGACACACTCGGTGACACAGTGACACACTCACAGTGACACACTCAGTGACACACACACACAGTGACACACACACAGTGACACACACAGTGACACACACACACAGTGACACACACACAGTGACACACACAGTGACACTCAGTGACACACTCACACAGTTACACAACAACAACAACAACAACCGCCATTCGCCACTAAGTGGCGGTGACGTCACCACGACGCTTGTGCCAGGCTATGTGCACCGTGAGGCCACGTGAAGTGTCGAACGCCCGCTGGCAGGAGGTCACTGGGCAGACCCAGGTGCCACGGGTCGACTGACTGACAGTTACACACACACAGTGACACACACACAGTGACACACTCACACAGTGACACACACAGTGATACACTCAGTGACACACACTCAGTGACACACACACTCAGTGACACACACATAGTGACACACACACAGTGACACACACAGTGACACACACACAGTGACACACAGTGACACACACAGTGACACACACACAGTGACACACAGTGACACACACACTCAGTGACACACACAGTGACACACACAGTGACATACACACACAGTGACATACACACACAGTAACACACAAACACAGTGACACACACACAGTGACACACAGACACACACACAGACACACACACAGTGACACACACACGCAGTGACACACACAGTGACACACACACAGTGACACACACACAGTGACACACACAGTAACACACACAGTGACACACACAGAGGGGGTGACCAGCACCCCCACGCCCGGCCGCCTTTGTCTCTCCCCCATCTGGTATCTGGTATCTGGCTACGCGATATCAGGTATCTGGTATCTGCCCACGTGATATCTGGTATCTAGCTACGTGATATCTGGTATCTGGCTACGTGATATCTGGTATCTGGCTACGTGATATCTGGTATCTGGTATCTGCCCACGTGATATCTGGTATCTGGCTACGTGATATCTGGTATCTGGCTACGTGATATCTGGTATCTGGCTACGTGATATCAGGTATCTGGATATCTGGTTACTGACTGCCTGGTATCTTGTATCTGGATATCAGGGATCTAGATTCCTGGTCCCTGGTATCTCGTTACTGGCTACCTGGTTATCTGGAATCTGGATATGTGGTATCTGGCTAGCTGGTATCTGGCTACCTGATATCTGGCTATTGTCTACCTGGTATCTGGATATCTGGCTAGCTGGTATCTGGCTAGCTGGTATCTGTCTATGTGATATGTGGTTACTCTCTGCTCACGATCATTAAGGACCTTCATGATGGTGAGCGGGCCCGGGTAAAACTACGTGGCCGGGAGTCAGAGCCATTCTCTGTACACCTTGGGGTGCGACAGGGATGTCCTCTGGCTCCCACATTATTTAACATCTATTTTGACCACGTAGTTCGTGAAGCCTTCAATAGCTGTACCGGGGGAATCTCCATATGGTACAGATATAATGGGAGGCTGATCGACGCCCGGGTGCGGTCAAGGGATGGCTCCCTATTGCTCAACAACGTTATGTATGCTGATGATCTGGTACAGTGAGGGAAAAACGTATTTGATCCCCTGCTGATTTTGTAAGTTTGCCCACTGACAAAGAAATGATCAGTCTATAATTTGAATGGTAGGTTTATTTGAACAGTGAGAGACAGAATAACAACAAGAAAATCCGGAAAAACGCATGTCAAAAATGTTATAAATTGATTTGCATTTTAATGAGGGAAATAAGTATTTGACCCCCTCTCAATCAGAAAGATTTCTGGCTCCCAGGTGTCTTTTATACAGGTAGCGAGCTGAAATTAGGAGCACACTCTTAAAGGGAGTGCTCCTAATCTCAGCTTGTTACCTGTATCAAAGACACCTGTCCACAGAAGCAATCAATCAATCAGATTCCAAACTCTCCACCATGGCCAACACCAAGGAGCTCTCCAAGGATGTCAGGGACAAGATTGTAGACCTACACAAGGCTGGAATGGGCTGCAAGACCATTGCCAAGCAGCTTGGTGAGAAGGTGACAACAGTTGGTGCGATTATTCGCAAATGGAAGAAACACAAAAGAACTGTCAATCTCCCTCGGCCTGGGGCTCCATGCAAGATCTCACCTCGTGGAGTTGCAATGATCATGAGAACGGTGAGGAATCAGCCCAGAACTCCACGGGAGGATCTTGTCAATGATCTCAAGGCAGCTGGGACCATAGTCACCGAGAAAACAATTGGTAACACACTACGCCGTGAAGGACTGAAATCCTGCAGCGCCCGCAAGGTCCCCATGCTCAAGAAAGCACATATACATGCCCGTCTGAAGTTTGCCAATGAACATCTGAATGATTCAGAGGACAACTGGGTGAAAGTGTTTGTGGTCAGATGAGACCAAAATGGAGCTCTTTGGCATCAACTCAACTCGCCGTGTTTGGAGGAGGAGGAATGCTGCCTATGACCCCAAGAACACCATCCCCACCGTCAAACATGGAGGTGGAAACATTATGCTTTTGGGGGTGTTTTTCTGCTAAGGGGACAGGACAACTTCACCGCATCAAAGGGACGATGGACGGGGCCATGTACCGTCAAATCTTGGGTGAGAACCTCCTTCCCTCAGCCAGGGCATTGAAAATGGGTCGTGGATGGGTATTCCAGCATGACAATGACCCAAAACACACGGCCAAGGCAACAAAGGAGTGGCTCAAGAAGAAGCACATTAAGGTCCTGGAGTGGTCTAGCCAGTCTCCAGACCTTAATCCCATAGAAAATCTGTGGAGGGAGCTGAAGGTTCGAGTTGCCGAACGTCAGCCTCGAAACCTTAATGACTTGGAGAAGATCTGCAAAGAGGAGTGGGACAAAATCCCTCCTGAGATGTGTGCAAACCTGGTGGCCAACTACAAGAAACGTCTGACCTCTGTGATTGCCAACAAGGGTTTTGCCACTAAGTACTAAGTCATGTTTTGCAGAGGGGTCAAATACTTATTTCCCTCGTTAAAATGCAAATGAATTTATAACATTTTTGACATGCGTTTATCTGGATTTTGTTATTCTGCCTCTCACTGTTCAAATAAACCTACCATTAAAATTATAGACTGATCATTTCTTTGTCAGTGGGCAAACGTACAAAATCAGCAGGGGATCAAATACTATTTTCTCTCACTGTGTGTGTGTCACTAATTGGTGATGGGGCAGTTGTGGAGAGAGTGGAGAGTTTCCCATACCTAGGCTGTGTGCTCATGACCGGCTCCAGTTTAACAGCAGAGGTCTCACTCCGAATCAGTCGAGCGGCAATATCTTTTCATCGGTTGCGTAACGCTGTGTGGAAGCTACCTGGTCTGTCGCTCCGCACTAAGCTTCAGGTCTTCTCGGCCACGGTCATTCCCTCCCTTCTCTACGCTTGCGAAACGTAAACCCCCTCTAATGGAACATCTTCGCCGGTTAGAAACATTTAGGCTGGCCTGCCTACGATCCATCCTGGGTTTAACCAGGCTGGATTGTGTGAGGAGCTCACAAATCCTCGAAAGATCTGGGCAAGGTCCCATCGGTGAGCTCCTCCGACAGGCAAGGCTGCGTTGGCTGGGTCATGTAGCCCGCATGCCCAGCCACCGCATGCCGAAACAGCTTTTGTTCGGCCGTATCGAGGGGGCTAAACGGGCGCGGCACGGGCTAGAGTAGAGATGGAGTGACGTGGTACAGGAGGACGTGGAGCTGAGTGGACTTGCCGATGACTGGTACCAGCGGTGTCAAGATCGGCCTCTGTGGAGGAGGCTCGTGAAGGACGCTACTGGGCAGTTGGAGGCAGTCGCCCTCCAACAACAACGGAGGGCGGAGGAGCGACGCTCACAACAACGAGCGGAGCGCCGGGTGGCTAAAGCACAGCAGGTTGGCACGGTAGGGGGCACAGGTGGTGCATCAGCCAGTCATCTCAGTCGTGCTGACGTCACCGCCACTTAGTGGCGAATGGCGGTTGTTGTTGTTGTTGTTGTCTGGTTACTGACTACCTGGTATCTGGTATCTGACTATCTGGTATCTGGCGATGTGATATCTGGTTACTGGCTACCTGGTTAACTGGTAGCTGTCTACCTGGTATCTGGATATCAGGTATCTGTCTACCTGGTATCTGGATATCAGGTATCTGTCTACCTGGTATCTGGTATCTGGATATCAGGTATCTGTCTACCTGGTATCTGGTATCTGGATATCAGGTATCTGTCTACCTGGTATCTGGTATCTGGATATCAGGTATCTGTCTACTTGGTATCTGGATATCAAGTATCTGTCTACCTGGTATCTGGTATCTGGATAACAGGTATCTGTCTACCTAGTATCTGGATATCAGGTATCTGTCTACCTGGTATCTGGTATCTGGATATCAGGTATCTATCTACCTGGTATCTGGTATCTGGATATCAGGTATCTATCTACCTGGTATCTGGTATCTGGATATCAGGTATCTGTCTACCTGGTATCTGGTATCTGGATATCAGGTATCTGTCTACCTGGTATCTGGATATCAGGTATCTGTCTACCTGGTATCTGGTATCTGGATATCAGGTATCTGTCTACCTGGTACCTGGATATCAGGTATCTGTCTACCTGGTATCTGGTATCTGGATATCAGGTAACTGTCTACCTGGTATCTGGTATCTGGATATCAGGTATCTGTCTACCTGGTATCTGGTATCTGGATATCAGGTATCTGTCTACCTGGTATCTGGTATCTAGATATCAGGTATCTGTCTACCTGGTATCTGGATATCAGGTATCTGTCTACCTGGTATCTGGTATCTGGATATCAGGTATCTGTCTACCTGGTATCTGGATATCAGGTATCTGTCTACCTGGTATCTGGTATCTGGATATCAGGTATCTGGTATCTGGATATCAGGTATCTGTCTACCTGGTATCTGGTATCTGGATATCAGGTATCTGGTATCTGGATATCAGGTATCTGTCTACCTGGTATCTGGTATCTGGATATCAGGTATCCGGTATCTGGTATCTGGATATCAGGTATCTGTCTACCTGGTATCTGGTATCTGGATATCAGGTATCTGTCTACCTGGTATCTGGTATCTGGATATCAGGTATCTGTCTACCTGGTATCTGGTATCTGGATATCAGGTATCTGTCTACCTGGTATCTGGTATCTGGATATCAGGTATCTGTCTACCTGGTATCTGGATATCAGGTATATGTCTACCTGGTATCTCGATATCAGGTATCTGTCTACCTTGTATCTGGTATCTGGATATCAGGTATCTGTCTACCTGGTATCTGGTATCTGGATATCAGGTATCTGTCTACCTGGTATCCATTAATACTCACGGAGCAACCTTCTTATCTTCTTCATTCTTCTTGTCGTCATTCTTCTTATCTCCTTCATTCTTGTCGTCATTCTTCTTATCTCCTTCATTCTCCTTATCTCCTTCATTCTCCTTATCTCCTTCATTATTCTTGTCGCCATTATTATCTCCTTCATTCTTCCTGGGCGTGTGCACCATCGGGGATGGATGTAAAAAGGTGAGCAGGTAGGTGAGTAGGTAGGTGAGCAGGTAGGTGGGCAGGTAGGAGAGCCGGTAGGTGAGCAGGTAAGTGAGTAGGTAGGTGAGCAGGTAGGTGGGCAGGTAGGGAAGCCGGTAGGTGAGCAGGTAGGTGAGCAGGTAGGTAAGTGAGTAGGTAGGTGAGCAGGTAAGTGAGTAGGTAGGTGAGTAGGTAGGTGGGTAGGTAGGTAGGTAGGTGAGTAGGAAGGTGAGTAGGTGGTTAGGTGAGTAGGAAGGTGAGTAGGTGAGCAGGTAGGTGAGCAGGTAGGTGGGTAAATAGGTGAGCAGGTAGGTGGGCAGGTAGGTGAGCAGGTAGGTGGGCAGGTAGGTGGGCAGGTAGGTGAGAAGGTAGGTGAGTAGGTAGGTGGGTAGGTAGGTGAGTAGGTAGGTGAGCAGGTAGGTAGGTAGGTGAGTAGGTAGGTGAGCAGGTAAGTGAGTAGGTAGGTGAGTAGGTAGGTGGGTAGGTAGGTAGGTGAGTAGGAAGGTGAGTAGGTGGATAGGTGAGTAGGAAGGTGAGTAGGTGGGTAGGTAGGTGAGCATGTAGGTGAGCAGGTAGGTAGGCAGGTAGGAGAGCAGGTATGTAGGTGAGTAGGTAGGTGAGCAGGTAGGTAGCTGAGCAGGTAGGTAGGTGAGTAGGTAGGTGAGCAGGTAGGTAGGTGAGCAGGTAGGTGAGCAGGTAGGTGGGCAGGTAGGTGAGCAGGTAGGTGGGTGAGCAGGTAGGTGAGTAGGTAGGTGAGCAGGTAGGTGAGTAGGTAGGTGGATAGGTAGGTGAGCAGGTAGGTGAGTAGGTAGGTGAGAAGGTAGGTGGATAGGTAGGTGAGCAGGTAGGTGAGTAGGTAGGTGAGCAGGTAGGTAGGTGAGTAGGTAGGTGAGCAGGTAGGTAGGTGAGTAGGTAGGTGAGCAGGTAGGTGAGCAGGTAGGTGGGTAGGTAGGTGAGCAGGTAGGTGAGCAGGTTGGTGAGTAGGTAGGTGAGCAGGTAGGTGAGTAGGTAGGTGAGCAGGTAGGTGAGCAGGTAGGTGAGCAGGTAGGAGAGCCGGTAGGTGAGCAGGTAAGTGAGTAGGAGGTAAGCAGGTAGGTGAGTAGGTAGGTAGGTGAGCAGGTAGGTGAGCAGGTAGGTGAGCAGGTAGGAGAGCCAGTAGGTGAGCAGGTAGGTAGGTGAGTAGGTAGGTGAGCATGTAGGTAGGTGAGTAGGTAAGTGAGCAGGTAAGTGAGTAGGTAGGTGAGTAGGTAGGTGGGTAGGTAGGTAGGTGAGTAGGAAGGTGAGTAGGTGGGTAGGTAGGTGAGCAGGTAGGTGAACAGGTAGGTGGGCAGGTAGGAGAACAGGTAGGTGAGCAGGAAGGTGGGTAGGTAGGTGAGAAGGTAGGTGAGTAGGTGGTGATACAGACAGGTAGGTGAGTAGGTAGGTGGTGATAGAGGTAGGTAGGTTAGCAGGTAGGTGGTGATACAGGCAGGTAGGTGAGTAGGTAGGTGGTGATACAGGCAGGTAGGTGAGCAGGTAGGTGGTGATACAGGTAGGTAGGTGAGTAGGTAGGTGGTGATACACGCAGGTAGGTGAGCAGGTAGGTGGTGATACAGGCAGGTAGGTGAGTAGGTAGGTGGTGATACAGGCATGTAGGTGAGTAGGTAGGTGGTGATACAGACAGGTAGGTGAGTAGGTAGGTGGTGATACAGGCAGGTAGGTGAGCAGGTAGGTGGTGATACAGGCAGGTATGTGAGTAGGTAGGTGGTGATACAGACAGGTCTGTGAGTAGGTAGGTGATGATACAAGCAGGTAGGTGAGTAGGTAGGTGGTGATACAGGCAGGTAGGTGAGTAGGTAGGTGGTGATACAGACAGGTAGGTGAGTAGGTAGGTGGTGGCACAACTACCGATGCAACTGCTGTTGCAACTGCTGTTGCAACTGCCGCTGCAGATGCAACTGCTGTTGCAACTACAGATGCAACTTCTGTTGCAACTACAGCTACAGATGCAACTGCTGTTGCAACTACAGATGCAACTTCTGTTGCAACTACAGCTACAGATGCAACTGCTGTTGCAACTACAACTACAGATGCAACTTCTGTTGCAACTACAGATGCAACTGCTGTTGCAACTACAGCTGCAGATGCAACTTCTGTTGCAACTACAGATGCAACTGCTGTTGCAACTACAGCTACAGATGCAACTGTTGTTGCAACTACAGCTACAGATGCAACTGTTGTTGCAACTACAGATGCAACTGCTGTTGCAACTACAGCTACAGATGCAACTGCTGTTGCAACTACAGCTACAGATGCAACTTCTGTTGCAACTACAGCTACAGATGCAACTGCTGTTGCAACTACAACTACAGATGCAACTTCTGTTGCAACTACAGATGCAACTGCTGTTGCAACTACAGATGCAACTGCTGTTGCAACTACAGCTGCAGATGCAACTTCTGTTGCAACTACAGATGCAACTGCTGTTGCAACTACAGCTACAGATGCAACTGCTGTTCCAACTACAGCTACAGATGCAACTGCTGTTGCAACTACAGCTACAGATGCAACTGCTGTTGCAACTACAACTACAGATGCAACTTCTGTTGCAATTGCAGCTACAGATGCAACTTCTGTTGCAATTGCAGCTACAGATGCAACTGCTGTTGCAACTGTAGCTACAGATGCAACTGCTGTTGCAACTACAGCTACAGATGCAACTTCTGTTGCAATTGCAGCTACAGATGCAACTGCTGTTGCAACTGTAGCTACAGATGCAACTGCTGTTGCAACTACAGCTACAGATGCAACTGCTGTTGCAACTACAGCTACAGATGCAACTGCTGTTGCAACTACAGCTACAGATGCAACAGCAGTTGCAACTACAGCTACAGATGCAACTGCTGTTGCAACTACAGCTACAGATGCAACTGCTGTTGCAACTACAGCTACAGATGCAACTGCTGTTGCAACTACAGCGACAGATGCAACTGCTGTTGCAGCTGCTGCTACAGATGCAACTGCTGTTGCAACTACAGCAACAGATGCAACTGCTGTTGCAACTACAGCTGCAGATGCAACTGCTGTTGCAACTACAGCTACAGATGCAACTGCTGTTGCAACTACAGCTACAGATGCAACTGCTGTTGCAACTACAGCTGCAGATGCAACTGCTGTTGCAACTACAGCTGCAGATGCAACTGCTGTTGCAACTACAGCTACAGATGCAACTGCTGTTGCAACTACAGCTACAGATGCAACTGCTGTTGCAACTACAGCTGCAGATGCAACTGCTGTTGCAACTACAGCTGCAGATGCAACTGCTGTTGCAACTACAGCTACAGATGCAACTGCTGTTGCAACTACAGCTACAGATGCAACTGTTGTTGCAACTACAGATACAGATGCAACTGCTGTTGCAACTACAGCTACAGATGCAACTGCTGTTGCAACTACAGCTACAGATGCAACTGCTGTTGCAACTACAGATACAGATGCAACTGCAGTTGCAACTACAGCTACAGATGCAACTGCTGTTGCAACTACAGCTACAGATGCAACTGTTGTTGCAACTACAGATACAGATGCAACTGCTGTTGCAACTACAGCTACAGATGCAACTGCTGTTGCAACTGCAGCTACAGATGCAACTGCTGTTGCAACTACAGCTACAGATGCAACTGCTGTTGCAACTACAGCTACAGATGCAACTGCTGTTGCAACTACAGCTACAGATGCAACTGCTGTTGCAACTACAGCGACAGATGCAACTGCTGTTGCAGCTGCTGCTACAGATGCAACTGCTGTTGCAACTACAGCAACAGATGCAACTGCTGTTGCAACTACAGCTGCAGATGCAACTGCTGTTGCAACTACAGCTACAGATGCAACTGCTGTTGCAACTACAGCTACAGATGCAACTGCTGTTGCAACTACAGCTGCAGATGCAACTGCTGTTGCAACTACAGCTGCAGATGCAACTGCTGTTGCAACTACAGCTACAGATGCAACTGCTGTTGCAACTACAGCTACAGATGCAACTGCTGTTGCAACTACAGCTGCAGATGCAACTGCTCTTGCAACTACAGCTGCAGATGCAACTGCTGTTGCAACTACAGCTACAGATGCAACTGCTGTTGCAACTACAGCTACAGATGCAACTGTTGTTGCAACTACAGATACAGATGCAACTGCTGTTGCAACTACAGCTACAGATGCAACTGCTGTTGCAACTACAGCTACAGATGCAACTGCTGTTTGCAATTACAGATACAGATGCAACTGCAGTTGCAATTACAGCTACAGATGCAACTGCTGTTGCAACTACAGCTACAGATGCAACTGTTGTTGCAACTACAGATACAGATGCAACTGCTGTTGCAACTACAGCTACAGATGCAACTGCTGTTGCAACTGCAGCTACAGATGCAACTGCTGTTGCAACTACAGCTACAGATGCAACTGCTGTTGCAACTACAGCTACAGATGCAACTGCTGTTGCAACTACAGCTACAGATGCAACTGCTGTTGCGTCCACAAAGCGCCCCTCCCCCTCCGCATGCAACTCGTTGCATCGACGTCCGCAACGACTCACTCCGCCCCCGGGTTGCTGTTGCAGCTGTTGCAGTTCAGCTCCACCAAACTCCACGATACCCTGACGAGGCTATGTCGATCCGGGCAGGATTGAGCGGAGAGCGGGGCGGGTGAGAGATTGAGTAGGTGGGTGGGTAGGTGAGTAGGTGGGTGGGTGAGTGGATGGGTAGGTGAGTAGGTGGGTGGGTGGGTGGGTAGGTGAGTAGGTGGGTGGATGGGTAGGTGAGTGGGTGGGTGAGTAGGTAGGTGAGTATGTCGGTGAGTAGGTGAGTAGGTGGGTGAGTAGGTGGATAGGTGGGTAGGTGAGTAGGTGAGTGAGTAGGTGAGTGAGCAGGTGGGTAGGTGAGTAGGTGGGTGGGTGGGTAGGTGAGTGGGTGGGTGAGTAGGTAGGTAAGTAGATGGGTGAGTAGGTGAGTAGGTGGGTGAGTAGGTAAATAGGTGGGTAGGTGAGTGAGTAGGTGGTTGAGTGAGTAGGTGGGTGAGTAGGTGGATACGTAGATGGATGAATAGGTGGGTAGGTGAGTGAGTGGGTGGATGCGTGAGTGGGTCGGTGGGTGGGTAGGTGAGTAGGTGGGTGGGTGGGTGGGTAGGTGAGTGGGTGGGTGAGTGGGTAGGTGAATAGGTGGGTGGGTAGGTGAGTAGGTGGGTGACTAGGTGGGTGAGTAGGTAGGTGAGTAGGTGAGTGGGTGGGTAGGTGGGTAGGTGAGTGGGTGAGTAGGTGGGTAAGTAGGTGAGTGGGTGGGTAGGTGGGTAGGTGAATAGGTGGGTGGGTAGGTGAGTAGGTGGGTGAGTAGGTGGGTGAGTAGGTAGGTGAGTAGGTGGGTGGGTGAGTAGGTGAGTAGGTGAGTAGAAGAGTAGGTGAGTAGGTGGGTGGGTGAGTAGGTGGGTGAGTAGGTGGGTAGGTGAGTAGGTAAATAGGTGAGTAGGTGGGTGGGTGAGGAGGTGGGTGAGTAGGTGGGTAGGTGAGTAGGTGAGTGGTGGGTAGGTGGGTAGGTGAGTAGGTGAGTAGGTGAGTGGGTGGATAGGTGAGTAGGTGAGTAGGTGAGTGGGTGGGTAAGTGAGTAGGTGAGTAGGTGAGTAGGTGAGTGAGTAGGTGTGTCAGTGAGTAGGTGGGTGGGTAGGTGAGTATGTAGGTGGGTAGGTGAGCGAATAGGTGGGTAGGTGAGTGAGTGGGTGGGTGAGTGAGTGGATGAGTGGGTGGGTGGGTAGGTGAATAGGTGAGTAGGTGGGTGAGTAGGTAGTTTGGTGAGTGGGTAGGTGAGTAGGTGAGTAGGTGGGTGGGTGAGTGAGTAGGGGAGTAGGTAGGTGAGTAGGTGAGTAGGTGAGTGAGTAGGTAGGTAGGTGAGTGGGTTGGTGAGTGGGTGAGTAGGTGGGTGGGTGGGTAGGTGAGTAGGTGGGTGAATGATTGAGTGGGTGGGTGAGTGAGTGGGTGAGTGAGTAGGTGAGTAGGTGAGTAGGTGGGTAGGTGAGTGTGTAGGTGTGTGAGTGAGTAGGTGGGTGGGTGGGTAGGTGAGTAGGTGGGTAGATGAGTGAGTGGGTGGGTGAGTGAGTGGGTGAGTGAGTGAGTGAGTGAGTGGTGAGTGAGTGAGTGACTGGGTGAGTGAGTGGTGAGTGAGTGAGTGAGTGACTGGGTGAGTGAGTGAGTGAGTGGTGAGTGAGTGAGTGGTGAGTAAGTGAGTGAGTGAGTGGTGAGTGAGTGAGTGAGTGGTGAGTGAGTGAGTGAGTGCGAGTGAGCGAGTGAGGGTGAGTGAGTGAGTGAGTGACTGGGTGAGTGGTGAGTGAGTGAGTGAGTGGTGAGTGAGTGAGTGAGTGGTGAGTGAGTGAGTGAGTGATGAGTGATTAAGTGAGTGGTGAGTGAGTGAGTGATGAGTGAGTGAGTGGTGAGTGAGTGGTTGAGTGAATGAGTGAGTGAATGACTGAGTGAATGAGTGAATGAGTGAGTGAGTAAATGAGTGAGGGAATGAGTGAGTGAATGAGCGAGTGAATGAGTGAGTGAATGAGTGAGTGAATGAGCGAGTGAATGAGTAATGAGTGGTGAGTGAGTGAGCAAGTGAGTGAGTGAGCGATTGAATGAGTGAGTAAGTGAGTGGTGAATGAGTGAGTGAATGAGTGAGTGAATGAGTGAGTGAATGAGTGAGTGAATGACTGAGTGAATGAGTGAATGAGTGATCGAGTGAGTGAATGAGTGAGTGAGTGAATGAGTAAGTAAGTGAATGAGTGAGTGACTGAGTGAGTGAATGAGTGAGTGAATGAGTGAGTGAATGAGTGAATGAGTGACTGTGTGAGTGAGTGAGTGAGTGACTGAGTGAGTGAATGAGTGAGTGAATGAGTGAGTGAATGAGTGAGTGGGTGCGCTACCTTCGCTTGCTCTTCCCTCCGCCCCCGTGAGGCGTGGCTCCGACCGACGAGGTTCCGGTGGCGGCTGACGAGGTGCCGGTGGGCGGGGCCTTGACGAGGTGGGGCCCTCGGAAGCGCTCCAGGAACGAGTCAGGTCGAGCGCCACTGCCGGAGTCGTCGCCTCGCTGGCTCCTCGCGGCCCACTCACGGAGCGAGAGGAGCACGCGCGTCACCCTGCGGGCGTCACACACGCAGCGTCATACACACAGCGTCATACACACAGTGTCACACACACACAGTGTCACACACACACAGTGTCACACACACACAGTGTCACACACACAGTGTCACACACAGCGTCACACACAGTGTCACACACACAGCGTCACACACAGTGACACACACACAGTGTCACACAGCGTCACACACACAGCATCATACACACAGTGTCACACACACACAGTGTCACACACAGCGTCACACACACACACGCAGCGTCATACACACAGTGTCACACACAGCATTATACACACACAGCGTCACACACACACACGCAGCGTCACTCACGGAGCGAGAGGAGCACGCGCGTCACCCTGCGGGCGTCACACACGCAGCGTCATACACACAGCGTCACACACACAGTGTCACACACAGTGACACACACACACAGCGTCACACACACAGCGTCACACACACACAGTGTCACACAGCGTCACACACACAGGGTCACACACACACAGTGGCACACACACACAGTGTCACACACACACACACAGTATCACACACACACAGCGTCACACACGCAGTGTCACACACAGTGTCACGCAGCGTCACACACACAGGGTCACACACACACAGTGTCACACACACAGTGTCACACACACACAGTGTCACACACAGGGTCACAAACACAGCGTCACACAGTGTCACACACACAGCGTCACACAGTGTCACACACACACAGCGTCACACACACAGCATCACACACACAGTGTCACACAGCGTCACACACACAGGGTCACACACATACAGTGTCACACACACAGTGTCACACACACACAGTGTCACACACAGGGTCACACACACAGTGTCACACAGTGTCACACACACAGCGTCACACACACAGTGTCACACAGTGTCACACACACAGTGTCACACACACACAGCGTCACACACACACACACAGTGTCTCACACACACAGCGTCACACACACAGTGTCACACACACAGCGTCACACACACAGCGTCACACACACACAGCTTCACACACACACAGTGTCACACACACAGCGTCACACACACAGCATCACACACACACAGTGTCACACACACAGCATCACTCACGGAGCGAGAGGAGCACGCGCGTCAGCCTGGCAGGCGTCACACAGCGTCACACACGCAGCGTCATACACAGTGTCACACAGCGTCACAAACACAGCGTCACACAGTGTCACACAGCGTCACACAGTGTCACACACAGTGTCACACAGCGTCACACACAGTGTCACACACACAGGGTCACATACACAGCGTCACACACACAGCGTCACACACACAGCGTCACACACACAGCATCATACACACACAGTGTCGCACACACAGCATCATACACACAGTGTCACACACACAGCATCATACACACACAGCGTCACACACACACGCAGCGTCACTCACGGAGCGAGAGGAGCACGCGCGTCAGCCTGGCGGGTGTCACACACACAGTGTCACACAGCGTCACACAGCGTCACACACAGTGTCACACACACACAGTGTCACACACACAGTGTCACACACACACAGTGTCACACACACAGTGTCACACACACAGTGTCACACACACAGTGTCACACACACACAGTGTCATACACGCAGTGTCACACACACAGCATCACACACACAGTGTCACACACACACACAGCGTCACACATACAGTGTCACACACAGTGTCACACACACACAGTGTCACACACACAGTGTCACACACACACAGTGTCACACACACAGTGTCACACACAGTGTTACACACACAGTGTCACACACACAGTGTCACACAGTGTCACACACACACAGTGTCATACACGCAGTGTCACACAGTGTCACACACACAGTGTCACACACACAGTGTCACACACACAGCATCACACACACAGCGTCACACACACAGTGTCACACACACAGCATCACACAAACAGTGTCACACACGCAGCGTCACACACACAGCGTCACACACACAGTGTCACACACACACAGTGTCACACACACAACATCACACACACAGTGTCACACACGCAGCGTCACACACACAGCGTCTCACACACACAGTGTCACACACGCAGCGTCACACACACAGCATCACACACAGTGTCACACACACAGTATCTCACACACACACACAGCGTCACACACACAGTGTCACACACACACAGCGTCACACACACACAGCATCACACACACAGTGTCGTACACACACACACAGCGTCACACACACAGCGTCACACACACACAGTGTCACACACACACAGCGTCACACACACAGCGTCACACAGCGTCACACACAGTGTCACACACACAGCGTCACACACACAGTGTCACACACACACAGTGTCACACAGTGTCACACACAGCATCACACACAGTGTTACACACACGCAGCATCATACACACAGCGCCACACAGGCAGTGTCACACATGCAGAGTCACATACACAGCATCACACACAGCGTCACACACAGCATCACAAACACAGCATCACACACACAGGATTCCACACACACAGCATCACACACACAACATCACACACAGCATCACACACACAGCGTCACACACACAGCATCACACACACACAGCATCACACACACAGCATCACACATGCAGCGTCACATACACAGCATCACACACAGCATCACACACAGCATCACAAACACAGCGTCACACACACAGCATTACACACACAGGATCACACACACAGCATCACACACACAACATCACACACAGCATCACACACACAGCATCACACACACAGCGTCACACACACAGCATCACACACACAGCATCACACACACAGCATCACACACACACAACATCACACACAGCATCACACACACAGCATCACACACACAGCGTCACACACACAGCATCACACACACACAGCATCACACACACAGCATCACACACACAGCATCACACACACAGCATCACACACAGCATCACACACACAGCATCACACAGCGTCACACACACAGCATCACACACACAACATCACACAAACAGCATCACACACACAGTATCATACACAGCATCACACACACAGCATCACACACACACAGCATCACACACACAGCATCACACACACACAGCGTCACACACAACATCATACACAGCATCACACACACAGCATCACAAACACAGCATCACACACACACAACATCACACACAGCATCACATACACACAGCGTCACACACACAGCATCACACACACAGCATCACACACACAGCATCACACACACAACATCATACACAGCATCACACACACACAGCATCACACACACACAGCGTCACACACAACATCATACACAGCATCACACACACACGGAGACACATGGGGGAACAGTGGGGGTGACGCTACCAAACACGTGGTGGTCACGTGGTGTGTGGGGGCGGGGTTGGAGGGGTTCACGTGGTGTGTGTGGTGTGGGGTGGGGGGTCACGTGGTGTGTGTGGGGTGGGGTCACGTGGCATTGTGAGGTGGGCAAGGTGGTGGTGGTCACGTGGTGGTGGTTGTGGTCACGTGGTGACGCCCCACCTGGCCAGCGTCCCCGAGGCTCCGCCCCCTGCCCCTCCCCTCTCGTCCACCCCCAGCTGGGCCCTCTGCAGCTCTGAGGAGGAATCCTCATCATCATCAGCAGCTGCAGCGGCAGCAGCGGCCTCATCAGCAGTGCCATCATCGTCGTCGTGGGTAGGGGGTGGTCTGGGGGTGGGGCACAGACACTCAGTCACTCACTCAGTCACTCAGTCACTCACTCAGTCACTCAGTCACTCACTCAGTCACTCAGTCACTCACTCAGTCACTCAGTCACTCACTCACACACTCACTCAGTCAGTCACTCAGTCACTCAGTCACTCACTCACTCAGTCACTCACTCAGTCACTCACTAACACACTCACTCACTCAGTCACTCAGTCAGTCACTCAGTCACTCACTCACCCACTCACTCACTCAGTCACTCAGTCACGCACTCACTCACTCAGTCAGTCACTCACTCACTCAGTCACCCACTCACTCACTCACTCACACACTCACTCACTCAGTCACTCACTCAGTCACTCACTCAGTCACTCACTCAGTCACTCACTCACTCAGTCACTCACTCAGTCACTCACTCACTCAGTCACTCACTCACTCAGTCATTCACTCAGTCAGTCACTCACTCACTCAGTCAGTCACTCAGTCACTCACTCACTCAGTCACTCACTCACTCACCCACCCACTCACTCAGTCACTCAGTCACTCACTCAGTCACTCACTCAGTCACTCACTCACTCAGTCACTCACTCACTCACCCACCCACTCACTCAGTCACTCACTCAGTCACTCACTCACTCAGTCACTCACTCAGTCACTCAGTCACTCACTCAGTCACTCACTCAGTCACTCACTCAGTCACTCAGTCACTCACTCAGTAACTCAGTCACTCACTCAGTCACTCACTCAGTCAGTCACTCACTCACTCACTCAGTCACTCACACACTCACTCAGTCACTCACACACTCACTCAGTCACTCACTCAGTCACTCACTCAGTCACTCACCCACTCACTCACTCAGTCACTCACCCACTCACTCACTCAGTCACTCAGTCACCCACTCAGTCACTCAGTCACTCACTCAGTCACTCACTCACTCAGTCACTCACTCAGTCACTCACACACTCACTCAGTCACTCACTCACTCACTCAGTCACTCACTCACTCACTCAGTCACTCACTCAGTCACTCACTCAATCAGTCACTCACTCACTCACTAAGCCACTCAGTCACTCACTCAGTCACTCACTAACACACTCACTCAGTCACTCACTCAGTCACTCACCCACTCACTCACTCACCCACTCACTCACCCACCCACCCACTCACTCACTCACCAACCCACCCACTCACACACCCACTCACCCACCCACCCACCCACTCACTCACCCACTCAATCACCCACTCACTCACCCACGCACTCACCCACTCACTCACCCACTCACTCACCCACTCACTCACCCACCGACTCACCCACCCACTCACCCACTCACTCACCCACTCACTCACTCAGTCACTCACTCACTCAGTCACTCACTCACTCACCCACCCACTCACTCAGTCACTCACTCAGTCACTCACTCACTCAGTCACTCACTCAGTCACTCAGTCACTCACTCAGTCACTCACTCAGTCACTCACTCAGTCACTCAGTAACTCAGTCACTCACTCAGTCACTCACTCAGTCAGTCACTCACTCACTCACTCAGTCACTCACACACTCACTCAGTCACTCACACACTCACTCAGTCACTCACTCAGTCACTCACTCAGTCACTCACCCACTCACTCACTCAGTCACTCACCCACTCACTCACTCAGTCACTCAGTCACCCACTCAGTCACTCAGTCACTCACTCAGTCACTCACTCACTCAGTCACTCACTCAGTCACTCACACACTCACTCAGTCACTCACTCACTCACTCAGTCACTCACTCACTCACTCAGTCACTCACTCAGTCACTCACTCAATCAGTCACTCACTCACTCACTAAGCCACTCAGTCACTCACTCAGTCACTCACTAACACACTCACTCAGTCACTCACTCAGTCACTCACCCACTCACTCACTCACCCACTCACTCACCCACCCACCCACTCACTCACTCACCAACCCACCCACTCACACACCCACTCACCCACCCACCCACCCACTCACTCACCCACTCAATCACCCACTCACTCACCCACGCACTCACCCACTCACTCACCCACTCACTCACCCACTCACTCACCCACCGACTCACCCACCCACTCACCCACTCACTCACCCACTCACTCACTCACTCACCCACCCACCCACCCACTCACCCACCCACTCACCCACTCACTCACTCAGTCACTCACCCACTCACTCACCCACTCACTCACCCACTCACTCACTCACTCACCCACTCACTCACTCACCCACTCACTCACCCACTCACTCACCCACTCACTCACCCACCCCCGCACCCACTCACTCACCCACTCACTCACTCACCCACTCACTCACCCACCCACCCACCCACTCACTCACTCACCCACTCACTCACCCACCCACCCACTCACTCACTCACCCACCCACTCACCCACTCACCCACTCACTCACCCACTCACCCACTCACTCATTCACTCAACCACTCACTCACCCAATCACCCACTCACTCACTCACCCACTCACTGACCCACCCACTCACTCACTCACTCACCCACCCACTCACCCACTCACCCACTCACTCACCCACTCACTCACTCACTCACCCACTCACTCACCCACTCACTCACTCACCCACTCACTCACTCACCCACTCACCCACCCACCCACCCACTCACCCACCCACCCACCCACTCACCCACCCACCCACTCACTCACTCACCCACTCACCCACCCACCCACTCACCCACTCACTCACCCACTCACTCACTCACCCACTCACTCACTCACCCACTCACCCACCCACTCACCCACCCACCCACCCACCTGGCCGTGCGTGGTGCGCTGGGTGGTGGAGGGTAACTCGCTTGTGTGGTGATCACGTGGCCCTGCTGCTGCTGCTGTGACCCCTGACTTGACCTCGCCAGCCCGGGCCAGCCTCGACTTGCCATGGTGCGGTCTGCGGCAAATCATCACAGCAAAGCATCATAGCCCATCATCATAGCCCATCACCATAGCCCATCATCATAGCACCATAGTATAGTGTAGTGTCATAGCTCAGCATCATAACCCATCACCATAGCCTATCATCATAGCCTAGCACCATAGCATCATAGTATAATGTAGTGTCATAGTCTAGCATCATAGCATCATAGTATAGTGTAGTGTCATAGCCTAGCATCATAGCATCATAGTGTAGTGTAGTGTCATAGCCTAGCATCATAGCATCATAGTGTAGTGTAGTGCCATAGCCTAGCATCATAGCATCATAGTGTAGTGTAGTGTCATAGTCTAGCATCATAGCATCATAGTGTAGTGTCATAGCCTAGCATCATAGCATCATAGTGTAGTGTCATAGTCTAGCATCATAGCATCATAGTATAGTGTAGTGTCATAGCCTAGCATCATAGCATCATAGTGTAGTGTCATAGTCTAGCATCATAGTATCATAGTATAGTGTAGTGTCATAGCCTAGCATCATAGCATCATAGTATAGTGTAGTGTCATAGCCTAGCATCATAGCATAGTGTAGTGTAGTGTCATAGTCTAGCATCATAGCATCATAGTATAGTGTAGTGTCATAGTCTAGCATCATAGCATCATAGTATAGTGTAGTGTCATAGCCTAGCATCATAGCATCATAGTGTAGTGTAGTGTCATAGCCTAGCATCATAGCATCATAGTGTAGTGTAGTGTCATAGTCTAGCATTATAGCATCAGTGTAGTGTAGTGTCATAGCCTAGCATCATAGCATCATAGTGTAGTGTAGTGTCATAGTCTAGCATCATAGCATCATAGTGTAGTGTCATAGCATAGCATCATAGCATCATAGTATAGTGTAGTGTCATAGCCTAGCATCATAGCATCATAGTGTAGTGTAGTGTCATAGTCTAGCATCATAGCATCATAGTGTAGTGTAGTGTCATAGTCTAGCATCATAGCATCATATTATAGTGTAGTGTCATAGCCTACCATCATAGCATCATAGTGTAGTGTCATAGTCAAGCATCATAGCATGATAGTATAGTGTAGTGTCATAGCATCATAGCATCATAGTGTAGTGTAGTGTCATAGCCTAGCATCATAGCATCATAGTATAGTGTAGTGTCATAGCCTACCATCATAGCATCATAGTGTAGTGTCATAGTCAAGCATCATAGCATGATAGTATAGTGTAGTGTCATAGCATCATAGCATAATAGTGTAGTGTAGTGTCATAGGCTAGCATCATAGCATCATAGTATAGTGTAGTGTCATAGCCTAGCATCATAGCATCATAGTATAGTGTAGTGTCATAGTCTAGCATCATAGCATCATAGTGTAGTGTAGTGTCATAGCCTAGCATCATAGCATCATAGTATAGTGTAGTGTCATAGCCTAGCATCATAGCATCATAGTATAGTGTAGTGTCATAGCCTACCATCATAGCATCATAGTATAGTGTAGTGTCATAGTCTAGCATCATAGCATCATAGTATAGTGTAGTGTTATAGTCTAGCATCATAGCATCATAGTATAGTGTAGTGTCATAGCCTAGCATCATAGCATCATAGTATAGTGTCATAGCCTAGCATCATAGCATCATAGTGTAGTGTCATAGTCTAGCATCATAGCATCATAGTATAGTATAGTGTCATAGTCTAGCATCATAGCATCATAGTATAGTGTAGTGTCATAGTCTAGCATCATAGCATCATAGTATAGTGTTGTGTCATAGCCTAGCATCATAGCGTCATAGTATAGTGTAGCGTCATAGCCTAGCATCATAGCATCATAGTGTAGTGTAGTGTCATAGTCTAGCATCATAGTATAGTGTAGCGTCATAGCCTAGCATCATAGCATCATAGTGCAGTGCAGTGTCATAGTCTAGCATCATAGCATCAAAGTATAGTGTAGTGTCATAGCCTAGCATCATAGCATCATAGTATAGTGTAGTGTCATAGTCTAGCATCATAGCATCATAGTGTAGTGTAGTGTCATAATCTAGCATCATAGCATCATAGTGTAGTGTAGTGTCATAGTCTAGCATCATGGTATAGTGTAGTGTAATAGTCTAGCATCATAGCATCATAGTATAGTGTAGTGTCATAGCCTAACATCATAGCATCATAGTATAGTGTAGTGTCATAGTCTAGCATCATAGCATCATAGTGTAGTGTAGTGTCATAGCCTAGCATCATAGCATCATAGTATAGTGTAGTGTCATAGCCTAGCATCATAGCATCATAGTATAGTGTAGTGTCATAGCCTAGCATCATAGCATCATAGTATAGTGTAGTGTCATAGTCTAGCATAATAGCATCATAGTATAGTGTAGTGTCATAGCCTAGCATCATAGCATCATAGTATAGTGTAGTGTCATAGGCTAGCATCATAGCATCATAGTATAGTGTAATGTCATAGTCTAGCATCATATCATCATAGTGTAGTGTAGTGTCATAGCATAGCATCACAGCATCATAGTGTAGTGTCATAGTCTAGCATCATAGCATCATAGTATAGTGTAGTGTCATGGTCTAGCATCATAGCATCAGTGTAGTGTAGTGTCATAGCCTAGCATCATAGCATCATAGTGTAGTGTCATAGCATAGCATCATAGCATCATAGTGTAGTGTAGTGTCATAGCATAGCATCATAGCATCATAGTATAGTGTAGTGTCATAGTCTAGCATCATAGCATCATAGTATAGTGTAGTGTCATAGTCTAGCATCATAGCATCATAGTGTAGTGTAGTGTCATAGTCTAGCATCATAGCATCATAGTGTAGTGTAGTGTCATAGCCTAGCATCATAGCATCATAGTATAGTGTAGTGTCATAGTCTAGCATCATAGCATCATAGTGTAGTGTAGTGTCATTGTCTAGCATCATAGCATCATAGTGTAGTGTAGTGTCATAGTCTAGCATCATAGCATCATAGTATAGTGTAGTGTCATAGCCTAGCATCATAGCATCATAGTATAGTGTAGTGTCATAGTCTAGCATCATAGCATCATAGTGTAGTGTAGTGTCATTGTCTAGCATCATAGCATCATAGTGTAGTGTAGTGTCATAGCCTAGCATCATAGCATCATAGTGTAGTGTAGTGTCATAGCCTAGCATCATAGCATCATAGTGTAGTGTAGTGTCATAGTCTAGCATCATAGCATCATAGTATAGTGTAGTGTCATAGTCTAGCATCATAGCATCATAGTATAGTGTAGTGTCATAGCCTAGCATCATAGCATCATAGTGTAGTGTAGTGTCATAGCCTAGCATCATAGCATAGTGTAGTGTCATAGCCTAGCATCATAGCATCATAGTGTAGTGTAGTGTCATAGCCTAGCATCATAGCATAGTGTATTGTCATAGCCTAGCATCATAGCATCATAGTGTAGTGTCATAGCCTAGCATCATAGTATAGTGTAGTGTCATAGCCTAGCATCATAGTGTAGTGTAGTGTCATAGCCTAGCATCATAGCATAGTGTAGTGTCATAGCCTAGCATCATAGCATCATAGTGTAGTGTAGTGTCATAGCCTAGCATCATAGCATAGTGTAGTGTCATAGCCTAGCATCATAGCATCATAGTGTAGTGTAGTGTCATGGCCTAGCATCATAGCATAGTGTAGTGTCATAGCCTAGCATCATAGCATCATAGTGTAGTGTAGTGTCATAGCCTAGCATCATAGCATAGTGTAGTGTCATAGCCTAGCATCATAGCATCATAGTGTAGTGTAGTGTCATAGCCTAGCATCATAGCATAGTGTAGTGTCATAGTCTAGCATCATAGTATACTGTAGTGTCATAGCCTAGCATCAGAGATTAGAATCGGAGCATTACGCGAGCAAAGATCACAAATCCCCCTCTAGCCACTCCCCTCAATCCCCCTCTAGCCCCTCCCCTCAATCCCCTCCACCCACCAAGCCCCTCCCCTCAAAGCCCATCCCCCTTAGCCCCTCCCCTCAAACCCCATCCCCCCATAGCCACACATACACACTCACACACACAACCACACACACACACTCACACACACAACCACACACACACACACTCCCCCACACACCCACACCCACACACTCACACATCCACACCCACACCCACACACTCACACCCACACAACCACACAACAACAACCGCCATTCGCCACTAAGTGGCGGTGACGTCACCACGACGCTTGTGCCAGGCTATGTGCACCTTGAGGCCACGTGAAGTGTCGAACGCCCGCTGGCAGGAGGTCACGGGGCAGACCCAGGTGCCACGGGTCGACTGACTGAGATGACTGGCTGTTGCACTGCCTGTGCCCCCTACTGTGCCAACCCGCTGTGCTTTAGCCACCCGGCGCTCCGCTCGTTGTTGTGAGCGTCGCTCCTCCGCCCTCCGTTGTTGTTGGAGGGCGACTGCCTCCAACTGCCCAGTAGCATCCTACACGAGCCTCCTCCACAGAGGCCGATCTTGACACCGCTGGTACCAGTCATCGGCAAGTCCACTCAGCTCCACGTCCTCCTGTACCACATCACTCCATCTCTTCTCTAGCCCGTTCCGTGCCTGCTTAGCCCCCTCAATCCGGCCAAACAAAAGCTGTTTCGGCATGCGGTGGCTGGGCATGTGGGCTACATGACCCAGCCATCGCAGTCTTGCCTGCCGGAGGAGCTCACCGATGGGACCCTGCCCAGATCTTTCAAGGATTTGTGAGCTCCTCACACAATCCAGTCTGGTTAAACCCAGGATGGATCGCAGGCAGGCCAGCCTAAATGTTTCTAACCGGCGAAGATGTTCCATTAGGGGGGTCCACGTTTCGCAAGCGTAGAGAAGGGAGGGAATGACCGTGGCCGAGAAGACCTGAAACTTATTGCGGAGCGACAGACCAGGTAGCTTCCACACAGCTCGACTGATTCAGAGTGAGACCTCTGCCGTTAAACTGGAGCCAGTCATAAGCACACTGCCCAGGTATGGGAAACTCTCCACTCTCTCCACAACTG